ATTTGATATGAGAAATATTTCTCTAAGATTGTTTTCTTCTGCGTGTGAGCTGGGGCAAGACTTTGTCAGTGTCAGCAAGGCACCAGCTGACAATGAAGTCTTTGTCTTCACTGACAGTCAATTAGCATTATTCTGTAAACATGGCTGTGGCTGAAAAATAGATATTGTTGAAAATTCATAGTCAGTTTTGCTGGGATGCATTGCAGGAACCAGGACTGTAGTGAAATTATACTCATGTCTGGACAATAGCCTACACCTTAACGTCTCTAACCAATAAACTTGAGCTTTTCTATCTTTACCAAATTTACACGAGAAATATCTGATTTAAAATTGATATCCAGTAATCATATTTCGATATTTTAGCCTCCATTACATGGTGGGTCCTCATTAAAACAGCATTCTGCACATTATATGGAACAGAGCCTGCAACGCACGCTTGAGACCCATGAGAAGCACAACCTGATGAGATCAGTGAAGATTTGTGCAACTGAAAAAATCGGTAATGGGAAAGTACTGTTGATATTTCAGTTGGTAAGAATCTTACTACCTGCGTTCACTGGGAGGACACACTCACTGCTTACTTCTGTTGCTTTCAATATATGCAGTCTTATTTAAAATCCACAAGTGCAAATAATTCTCTTCCTCAAAACCAATGGTATCCCAATTCAAAACAGTTGGTTATACAAAAACAGAACCAATTCAGATATGTTTGTAACAAGAAAACAAATTTATTGATTTTAAAAGACAAGACACAATTTTGTTTTGAAAAACACAAAAAGCTAGCCTGAGTTCAAGTCTGAAATATTCAGAAAAATCCTACTGTCTTTAGTATGTTCCAGTCATTTTTTTAAACAACACACTAAAAGTTAATATATATTTTTATAATTATAAAAGTTCCCCAGTTATTGTACAGTACACAATACAAATTGCCCACAAACTATTATTTAGCTCCTGCCAGTTTTGAGAGGACATGATATACTAAAAGATTTAGCATTTCTCACAAAAATCACATCAGGAAATACGTATTTACAAAATCAAATACATTATACAAAAAAACCATCACGTTATTCTGTAAAGATGTCTTCTTTAAATAATTAAAAAGTATATTCAACTGTAGTCCAAAAACTGGAAAAGAACATTACATTATCTCACACATACAATCTACAAAAAAGTCGCTTACCTCATTTACATAATATATTCAGTCAACTGGAAAATAAAAGTTTGAATCTATCCTAGTGTTATGATGTTTCCGTGCTGTGGGACTGAACAATGTAATCTGCCACTTACTAAGTGAAATTTAAACGATGGCACTTAAAAAAATACACTATAAAATAAATGCAACAATGGAAGTTTCCTAGAAGGTAAGAAAGCCCTGAGCGATGACAAAATTACTGATTGGTAGCTCTAGAATTAACCTAATTAAAGTTTACCACCTCAGGCACAATTTTCTAAGTTTTTGAAAGGCACTCAAAGTTTCTTTAACAGCCTCATTGGTTATTAACTGTAAATCCAAATTTTGAGTGAAGATGAGTGGAGATGGGCAACTTGCTTTGGTACAAAGTGATATATTTCTGGCATCCTTTTAATTGCTTAATTGGGTTGTGTTAAGATGGATATAATGTTTCAATGCAAGGCAAACACATTAATATTGTATCAAAGAAAACTTCATTTGGGGAACCCTTTAGTATTCTTAAAGCTCCTGGTGACATCAGCGAGTCAAAAAGAACCGAAGTGAGTTCCTGGTAAATACCAATCCACGTGAGGTTGTCTGTCCCTCCAAATCCTAAACTCCTCTAGCAAAGACATCTGTTGTTTCAGAGTAAAATTCATCCAGAACTGAAAACTCTTGTAAGATGTTTGCACCCGAATCAAGAAAGTGCATAAGGATAGAAAGATCCCGATTTAGATTTAAGTGAGGCTCATTTGATGCTAGTAGTCTTGTTCTGGGCCTTATTTTCTACCGTAAATTTTACCCTTAGTGAGAAATCTTCAAGAACAATTCTTACCAAATATTTAACTACTCAGGGCTTCCAATCCCAAAATGTTAATTTATTTTTCGAAAGGAAAAGGAAAGGAAAAGTAATAAAACATGATCATTTTCAAACTAAGGCATATTTTACTTCAAACAAACACTAGGCAGTCACTTTGTAAGTGGCTTTTACTATTTCTCAAGTTAAACTGGTAAATTAAACTCAGGTCTACCGGCACATAAAATCACTAGCAGCAATGATCAAGGCATGCAAACTCAGAAGCATTTACATTAAATTATGAATTAAAAAGTTGTTAAATTAAAACCCTTTGAGTATTGCATTTATGATAATTAATTCTGCATGAATTTGCAATAACTGATTAAAGATGTCTACAGCTTACTTGCACTATACTACTGATGTAATTGCATTAAATAACTTAAAATGAGACCTTTTGTTTTTTTTGCCCTCAGATAGACTTCAGTAAGTACAGCTGCACGTAGTGTTTGCGACTGATACTGCAAGAAACCTGTAGAAAATTTACAGTACTCTCACTTAGTAAGGTGGCATTTCTCTCTTTAATGTCAAAGAATCTGTGCTTGCTACTACACTCTTTCCCTTGCTCTTATAAGCAGTGTTTGCAAGATCTAAGGGGCTTTTTAACATGTTAAAAGGCTGGTGCAGTTTCTAGGCTGCTGTTAAAATTCTCACGTTCAGTAAGGGCCATCCCTTGCACCCCTGCAGATGAAACTGAGTCAAAAACCTTCACCTTAGCATTAGTTATTATTGCAGTGACTGAATGTTAAAAGGAGTATAATTGGGTTCTGGTTTAAGAAAAAGATGGCAGAAGACTTCAGTGTAAACATACCAAATATTCTGTAGTTTTTTTCTTTTTTGCTAAGCCTTTAATTTCTAATGATTCTCTTTTACATTATTGGAGTATTCCATGCTAGCCTACCTAAGGAGATTTTCAAAAAAGGATAAGTATTTTTTTCCTAAACCTTCATCTTCTAAAGGCATCATATTAGACAACTTAATGTCCATAGAAACACATTTGATTTTCTTCACATATTTCTGCATTTATGAAAACAAGGGAGATGAAGAACTATTTTCCATTAGGCAATACACATCAATGGCAGTGAATATTTGGCTAAATCTATGGAACCAATCACAAAACCATTCCTGTATAGTAAGCAAGTATCTACTTTAGAATTATATAAAAAAGTAATAATAATCTACAATGCCATCAATCAGCTATTTTGAAGTGTATGATAAATGGACTGAATAAATGACCTAAAATGCTTTATTCTCATCATATGACTTACAATGCTCAAAGGGTTAATGCAAGGCATTACGTTAAATTAATTTTATAATACTAGAAATAAGCACTGTGTGTTTATGCTCCTATTCCAGTTTTTTTTTTTGTTTGTTTCTCTTAAATCACCAAACAAATTAGCAGAGATACTACAATTCCAGTTACTGATTTTAAACCATATACACAGAGGATGTCCCGTTAGAGAGACAAGGGCCCAATTTTCAGAAATTCATGCTGTTCTCTCAAATGAATGTTTTAAACTCTAAAATTGCTCTTGTAGGTCATACTTACATCATTGATAAATCTATTTTTCCTTCCCTGCTTTTATAGTTAAAATGATTACTTTCGTTTTGTAAAACCGTTCTGATTTGAATCCAGTGTGACTCTAAATCTAAAAGGTTTTCTAAACAGTGCAGGTATCAATTAGTGATATTCAGAAAGATATCATGTCTCTTAGGAGAAAAAGGAAAGGTGAAAAAAGAGGTTTTAGATATTTTAGAATACCTCGCTTTAAATTAAATTTGTATATATGCCTATACATTCCTGAATGACAGTACACCAGAACATCACCTATTTTCTTACTTATGAACTAAAGGCTGTAATTCTGTAAGTCATTACTGTATGGGTAAATAATTTAAAATCTATTTTCCAGCTTTCTAGGGAAGTCTTTTTAAAAGAAGGTGCTTATAGCATGCTACAGTACATGAGTAAAACACAAAAATAACAACTGAAACCAGAAAAGAAAAACAGAAGCTTTAAAACTGATTCACCATGAAAAAAATTGGAAATGTACCAGCAAATCATCATAAATACAAAACTTTTGAAAATTGGGCCCTGTGCTTTGAAAAGGTAGTTTAACAATACCCATTCCCCTACACTGTTCACTGTGATATTTGTGCTGACAGGGAAAATGCCTTTTAATAATTATTTTGAATTCCATTTCACATAAACCACTATCAGCCCTCATAACGTCTACCCTGTGGATAAATGCTAAACCTCTCCAGAGCACTGGCAACAGACTTCAGAGCTGGTGTGCCAACCACATGCTGCGCATCATAGAATCTGGACTGAGGTATTCATATCTCTGTAGTTTAATCATTACTAAAACCCAACTATTAAAGATAGCAGAAGTGTGCAAAATGTTTTACCTGTGTTTGATTAAAATTTCATTAAATTTAAAAACACAAGACCTCCAAACCTGCAACTATACAAACTAGCTTACAGCAACTTAGTTCTTCTAAAAATCTTGTAAGAAAACAAGTATGAGGAAAAAAAAAATTTTAAATTCCAAAAAGTAATCAATTGATAAGCATAGAAATACAGACGCCATTTAATTTTCTCAATCTGGGATAGTTCCAGTTTGTTTTGATAACTCATTGTTTGTAGAAGCTATGAAATACATTCTATCTTTGTATTAATTTTTCTATTTTTTTCTTTCCTTTTTTTTTTTTTTTTTTCTTTTTTTTTTTTTTTTTTTTTTTTGCACTTTGTGAACAGTGAACAACTGGGATGGGAGTGGGAAACGGAATAATTAAAGATACTCAGGTCCCACCTCTTTCAGCAATCTAAATTTACCTATTACAATCATTCTCTTTTCTCAGCAACAACAAATACAACATTAAAATCAATAAGACAGTAAGAAAACATTATAGGGGTTTGCCAAGACAAAAACTGAATGAAGTACTACAGTATTAAAAAAGTTTAAAATGAAAAAAAAATTGAATTATTTCACTTTATTTTAATTGTAAACATCTTATAATGCACAATGAAGGGGAGTAAATATTTATCACAGCTTAGTTTTAGGATTTTTGGTGAAGGGTACATCTACGCTGATTTCCAAGGATAAATCAGGACACACTGAGCAATATATGTGAGAGCAAAATCTATAATGAGATTCAGTGCAGTTATGAGTATAGAAATAATGAATATAAACCTCACTTTCACTTCTTACTGAGGTGAAAGCCATTTATTAACATCAAGCAGGAATTATGCCTACACAGAGTAAGCAGGATGGGTTTACCTCCCAGCTCTTTAAAAGGAAGTTTAATTTTGCACACCAATAATGTTAGGACATTTTAGTTGATAATGTAGCTGTATTTGGAGCACATGTGATCTATAGCAACAAACTCCTTTGCTATAAATACACTGTTAATTTTGCTATTCTTCTCCCATTTGGTATATATTACTTTAAAGTCATGTCACAGACACTGTAGGTAAGCCAAAATAAAAGAACCTCTAATTTTTTTTACACAGTCATTTGTATAAAGTTGATGTTTTTGTGCTCTCCTTCACTTTTTGGCTTTTTTTTTTCTTTTTTTTCTTTTTTTCTTACTCAATGCACTATATAACGTGGCAAATTCATGTGTCTGCACAATGAAATATTTAAGAATAAAAATGGCAATTAATGTATGCTTTATATAAACTGTCAATACGAGATCGAGCCATTAAAATGTAAAATCAGGCTGATACCCCACAAAACATACAAATTGAAAACATGCACTGCATTATGTACCTGCTCATTTATTCATTTTTACCTTTTAAAATTAGAAGTAGACATGGGTCTAAAAATATATATAATCATGCTTGGGACTATAGTCAATCTATCTTGACATCTGAATGTGGTATTAAAGCTAGTTTTGCCTTCCAGATTCCCAAGCAAATTTTATTTGTAATAAAGTGAAATCCAGCTAGAAACAAGAAAAAATAGGTTTATTGTCATTCTAAGAGGGATATTAAAATCATTTAATAATAAAAAATCACTTTATTATTTTGAAGGCTATGTAACCTGTCCTTACTTCTTAGGGAATTTGAAAATGACAGGCACACCTTGTTGAATTAATTTAAGAGTTAAGAATAACAAAAAGTACTAAGTCTTAGCTTCAGTTCTGTTTAAGGCACCATGTAATAGCCGAGGTACAATGATCCCTGATGTACATTCTTAAATGGCAATGGTCCATCTAGCCACCTATTCAAATTCTACACAACTGGGAATAAGTAAAAGTGAGGTGTGCCAGTTACACTGCCTTACCTAATTTTTTGTAGAAGTTTAAATCCACTGTAACAACAAGGAAATATTTTTGTGAAAGGAAAATGATGCAGGTTGCTACATTCCTTGCATTCTATAAATTATCTTTTCTAAGAGCAGCAGATTGAACCACTAATATGAAAAGACCTGGAATAGAAGAAAGTCATCCAAATGGAATATTTTCCTGTATGTCCAGTCCAGCTTAAGTAGCATGTACACTTAAAAATTAACAGTAATAATTAAGTCACTTCTTTTTCAGCTTCAGCTTCTAACAACTACAGTACCACTCAACAGCCAAAAGTACCTGTTCAGTGGCACCACATTTAGTATCAGTAGTCTTCAAAACAGAGGAACTGGTATGCAAATAATACCTGGAACTGTTGATTTTTAATGAACCTTGCATTCTTAACATGATGGTCAGATAATTAGGTACGTTCGTTACGTACGTACACATTATCACATTGTTACAATTCTGCCATTTAAACTTGCTTCTTTCTCACAGAAAGAAACTAGCATATCTTCTCAACTCTTCAACATTATTACAAAAAATCCCCCTGAATACTCACAATTTTATCAAAATAGTGTCTTCTAGTTGTCCACGGAAAAGCACCTTTTATAACAAACTTGATACATCTGTTGTCAAATAAGTATGCCTCCAGTGTAAATCAAAGAAAATAGTTCTTTTGATATTTCACAGAAGTGCATCTATTTAAAAACCTATGTATATGAAATCATCACCATAACCAATAATGAACATTAAAATATTTAAAAAAAACTATGAAAAAAATTAAATTATTATCAGAGGACAAAAACATTAACACCAAGCTTTGCAAAAATCTTTCTTGCATTTGATTATAAGAAAACTCTTCATCTTGAGTGGCCAATGTAAAATGATCCTGTTTACAAGAAAATCTTTTTTAAACAGGTCTGGCAAAATGTTTACACCCATACCATTTAATGACTCCAATAAAATAATGCTCAGTACAGCTGAAATTTGACAACAGTCGATTTTCAGACTTTTTTTCTCTTTTATTTTTTTTCCTCTTAAACCCAAAGGGCTAATGTAATGATGGGGGGAGGGGAGAAGTTTCACATTAGACTGCAGTATATGTATTTCCAGTAGCACTGCACTGTCTGATAGTCTGAGTAGTTGCAACGATGTGCTCATTATGAATTGGGTTCAGGAGGTTCTGCTGTACTCCACTCTCAAGCACTGGCTGCATGCAGCCCACCTGAAATGCTTGGTTTAGCTCTGTTTTCTCTCTCTTTGCTTGCGGCTCTCCATTTTCATCCATTTCTTCATCTATTTCACTTTCAACTTCGCTGCCTTCATCTGCATAAAGGAAAAAAAAATAAAGATCTAATACAAATGGCTTTGTTTTGCAAATAATATTTGAAATACAAAGATATTGGGATGACTAGCAATCTGATAAAGCACAAACTGAAAACTTAAAACTTTAATGGAAAACACTAATGATTACATCAAATAGATTAATAGACTCCCATTGTTTTGATCACACTTGTTAGATACTGTTGATAAAAGGAGAAGAAATTACCAATCCCAAAAACAGTATCTAACAAACAACAATAACTTCGTATTGTAAAATCCCTTTCATCTTCAAGATCTGATAAACCTTTTGAAGAATTGTTACATATTAGGGAAATGAGTGAAAAGAGGTTGTGATGTGACATCAAATTGTACAACCAATCCGTATAAAATGTATGTCAAAATATGGCATGAAGAGCTCGTAAGGAACTCATTTCTTCCCACCATCTTCTCTGGCAAGCTATGTAGCAACTGCATGCAATTCTAACTATGCATTAGTTAGCATTATGCAATGCTAAATCTTCATTTAGCAGTGATAAAGTTACATAAGCCTACTCCTGTCTTTCTTCCCACAGCTGTTTGCTTCTTTGTACTACCAGGCACAAATAAACACCAGGTTTAACTGGGAACATTTCCTGTGTTAATGCTAAATGTCTTTAAAATAAACTGTTGTTAGAAAACATAGCTATGATATTCTAGTAATTATTATATGCTGGATATCAATGTATCTAAAAAACAAACATATGCATTTTATAGCATGATACAGCTCTAAGTTCTACTTATTTTGCTCAGAGACACATTAGTTCTACACTGACTTATATACTGGAAAGATTAAAATGCATACCTTTATCCATATTTCCAGGGGACACAGCATTTAAATCACCAAACTGCAAAATAAACAGTGGAAAAAACTGAGCACAGTCTTATGCAAATAGTATGTAGAATGCCTGTGGTGGAGCCAGACTGTGCTCCACAGGTTTGAGGCTAGCATGCAAACACATGGCCTGCACTGCAGCCACATCCATCATGCATCAATTCATTTTCCATTCCATCTTGTGTTTAGTAAGACAGTTATCACTAAAGAAATTTTCACAAATTGAAACAGGGAACTACAAACTTATATCATTCTTTTTCAAGATAGCATCATCAGGGCCTTTATCAATTGAAGTGAGCTACTTCCATGTTGAATGTCAGAAACTGTGACAGATATTTTGAACTATCAATATTTTATCCAAAAGGTCTTTTTAAAATTTCCCAGAGAAGCTAAAAGAAAAATGAAGGTGCGTCTCTAAATGCAGCTATAGCATTGCAGATTTACCTGGAAGACAGATGAAATGCACTGCTGAGGAAAAGTTTACAAAATGGTAACCAATTTACTTGTATTAAAAAGATGTATTTGCAAAAATGTTGTTCATATTCTAGATGCATAACATTCCTTCCTTTCCTTTCCTGAATTCTCTAACTCTCTTAAATGAAAGAAATTAGCAGAGTAGAACGTCCTCAGTGAATCCCAAATGAAAGGAGAGTTTTACTTAAATTATACAGTTCTGACAGCAAATGATACCAACCTTTTTCAGAAATACAGTAAGACAAAACAGTAACTTAAGGAACAGTAATGCAATGAGCACCAATACCATCATGTCATGTCCTCGCGCTTAGCCTTATGCTACTTTGGCTTTGTGCATGAAGTGTTCACACAGCTATGCAATAGACAGAACTGATTGAAAAGAAAAATAATCACTTATAAACACAGGGCATTTTTATTTGAATGAATTTGATCCAGTTAACTGCAGCACTTGTCAGTACTTTTGCTGACAAGTGTCCAAAGCTGGGAGAAAAGGAAGGCAGGAAAATGAACATGCTAATCTCAGCTGCAACACTAGCATATGCTGTCCTGTGACGTTTGACACGAATCTGGTCTTAGATTTCCTCTTTTTATTTCAGTCACAGTCATTGAGTATAGAAAATCATTAACAAGCGTGCATTTAATGAGTATTTGCACCTTCTCTCCTGTACCAGCCAGTGTTGTTAATTTTTTCCAGGATTCCACCTTCAGTTTACATCAAATAAACAACTACACAACTCCTAAAAACTGATGCATAAATATAGGATGTGTGTTAAGAAGGCAAAAATGAAATAACTGTATGCTTCTAGGTATCTTACTGCATATATAGGGCAGACTAAGGAAATAGACTATTAAATTACTATTGTAATTTAATTTGTCTAAACCCTCATGCCACGTGGCAGGAAATCATTTCACAAATACAGTGAGACATGTCCGATCTCTCTTGAAAGTCTGCTATCTATATACACTATTTAATGATACTGTTAGCGTATTTGAAGGAAGAATGAAACCTGATGTCAAACAACCTGCAGAATTACTTGCAAGTTATCAGTAACAAAAATCGCGCAGTGACTCCCAAGTGTGAAAATGTAATAAAGCTGTGCCATAAAACATCCACTTTATTTTCAAATATATAAATTTCCCATCACTTTGGGAGAACATTTGATGAAAATGTATTCATTCTTCAGAATCTCACTCAGAAGTTTAGATGAATTACTGGAGAAAAGAGTGATGAAATAAACCTCGCCTTGCAGGTGCCACAGTCCTCAACTGAGGCTCTTTGTGTTTTTTAAGCCTATAAATTTTGAAATGTATGAAAATAAACTGTGTCACAGATCTCTTAAGTACAACTGTACATGAGTGTGAACAATACCCTATGGACCAAATAGATAACATCTTTCTGAAGTCACTGGGAATAGACAGCTCACTTACGATAATTTTTGTACTGCAATTCTAAATATATGTTTAAATACATCTAAATAAATAGATCTATGTAAACGACAGTTTCCTATTTTCCCCTTACCCCCACCCCGCTTTCTTTTTTTTTTTATTTTTAAAAAAAATAATCTTTTCTCAGGAAAAAAAAAAAAAAAAAAAAAAAAAAAAAGAGATGAACATTTTTCAAACTGTGCCAAAACTTAGGTACATTAATCTGTGCACAGATCTGAGAAGGAGCAAGTTTGTTTGCAAATAATTGGTTGTTAGAATTCAGTGTGATTTCAGAACTCTGACAGTCAAACAACGAAACAAATGTGAAACTGTTAATATATTTGTAACCCAATCTGTTCTTACACTGTAGAACATCCTACAGATTCACGTGAAAGTTTATAAAATTTGTACAGGTATGTACTCAAATTCATCATAAATCCATCAAATCTAGTCTCTTACATATTATCTTACCTCTCCCATAACTGCAATAGGTGTCTCTCCTGTGGCCTGAGCAACACGATGTTCTACTAAGTAAAACATGTATTCATCATAAAGCAAGCGGATCAGATGAAAAGAGCCAAAGCTGGCAGCACTGCGCAAGGTTAGATCTCGAATCACCATTGAGCTATTCAAAAATGGAAAAAAACATCTGTGTTATATGTCATCATCACATTAATGCTTATCCATACCAACATTTCAACTCAAAACCAGTATTCTTACAAACAACATTATGCACAATGTCTGACTGATGGTGTCTTTGGAAAGAGGTGTTCAGGAAAGGCAATTATTTGATTTTTCTTTTTGCAGAAGATGTCGCTGGCCACCATATTAGAAAAGAAAAAAACGGATTTTTGTTTGTTTTCCTTGTTTCTTTCCTTTCCTATCTGTATAACCACCAAGATTTGTGCATTTAAGTTTCCCAGTAAAAAGGTTTTACCATGATTTTAATAATTCAAAGTTTAAACAAAATTAGAAAAAGACTTCTGTGTATGTCTTAGATTGACAAATTCTGGTATCTTCAGCAAGTAGCTGACATAATCATTTTCAAAGAACCAGCTTTACACTCACAACTGATTCAATAAGCAACTAACATGGAATGTTAACTTGCTTTAATCCACTTTCTATACTGTAAAAAAAGTTTACCTTAGCTAATAATCACACATATCACACTGTATTAATAAATAAAATTAAAAATAGTGGCTTAATAATTGTACAGTTATTTAACCCAACAATTCCACATTGTGTTTCTAACTCACAACATTCATATGGCCTTCCAAACAGCAAGAGTATCAGTTAAGTCCTTGCCAAGTTGTAAGTGTCTCTGAGTTTGATGTTAATAGCAATTTTCTGGAAAAAAAACCACCCACATACTTTTGGTAACTTAGTGACTCACAGTTTGATGTTGTGTCTGTCAACCTCACTACAGTGAACAATTCAGCGAGTAACATAACAGTTAAAATGTTTTACAAGTATTAAATACTACCTGTAGAAAGACCATTTTAACAGAAATTGCCGTGCTGCTTTAGGAAAGCTGGGTCTTCCTTCATATGGTTTCAAGGCTTGCATCATAACATTATCAAGCCAGGCAGCCCACTGCTCCAGAGTGCTTTGCTGTTGAAGAGTCATTTTGAAGTCTGTTTCTAGCCTCTGAACCATGTTGTCATCACACTGGCACACCCAGGAAGCCTGCTCCTGTTAGAGCAAATAGCAGCACTTGAATTAACAGTATATGAAACAAAGCACAGAATGTAATTCATTCTTAAAGGTTAAACAATTCTGTGGAGGAAAAGGACAAAAAATGCTTATAGAACAAACTAAAAACTAGTTTTTGTTTTTATGTCTGTCACAATTTTGTTCAAAGAAAGTAGGTGGGGAAAACACAACACATAGAATCAGTTGTTTAAATGCAGAAATAAACAAGAACAATGAAAATGACACAAGTATGTTTTAGTTTTCCACATTTGTTTTCAGAAGATATCTTTTACTTTCTTTGTTGATGATTTTTCTACTGAAATATTTGGGAATTGTCAATTTTTGTTGGGACTGCTGACATGCCAATCAGAAACACCAGTTAAGTGGGGGGTCTAAAATAATAAGGAAACGAACAAGAAATGAAGTGCAAGGTTCCTTCCAGTATGAACAAGATAACTTGAGTTATACCATCTTACAAAATAAAGTTTTGTACATGAACAAGAATTGCTTTATTTGCTGGGTGTATGTTACACATATACACATGTACAAAATTAACTGCAAAGAAATGGAGAAACATGATTGCATATAACAGTGAACACTTTGATCAGCATTACCAAGATTAAATGAGTCTAGAGGGACACTTAAAAAACTAAGAGATAATGTGAAGACTCACTCAAGCCCTATCCTTAAACTTTAGCTATCATATGCTAAGTTAACACCTCAACATTAGCAGGCTGTGTCTACATTAACTTATTAGCATAATTAACATTTTGCATCCTTGGTCAAGTACACCACCCACACCTGTTCTTTCATTCTTGAAACATCATCCAATGATGTTTCAAGAACAAGTCTGAGGTAAATTAGAAGAGATTTAAAGGTCCTTCGAAGACAGCTGAAGGATTCAGAATCACAGGTAGTGTTTTCTGCAGTCCTCCCAGTAATGGGAAGAGCGGTGGAAAAAAACAAGTGATCAGCGAATATTAAAATACTTGAATGCATGCACGTGGAGGGGGCAACACAGCTGGTAACAGGGCTGGAGGGCATGTCCTATAAGGAGAGACAGAGGACACTCAGATTGCCCAGCCTGGAGAAGAGGAGGCTAAAAGGATATTAGCTCTCCCTGCAGCTTCTTGAGGAGGGAAAGTACTGAGAAAGGTACTGGGCTCTGTTCACTGGTCATCAGTGACAGGATGGACAGGATGGGAAAAAATTGTGCCACAAGAGGTGGCGAAACATTGGAACAGTCTTCCTGGAGATGTGGTTGATACAATCTGTATGTCAGTGTTCAAGATGTACTTGGACAATGCCCTAAAAAATACACTTGAACTTTTCGTTAGCCCTGTAGCAGTCAGGCAGCATGACTTGATCTTCATAGGATTCTTGTAAAGAAGCTTTTAAAAATTCTAATGCTACCATTCACATTCAATATTCATCATTCAATACCATTCATAGTTTACATATTGTTGTATAATCTGTGTGTTAAAATATATTTATTAAAAAGTATATAAGAAAAGTATAAAGAATAAAACTGTCACTAGCAAACTGAGTTTTATATGTAAAATTATCTCCTCACAAAAACAACCCAACAGAGAACTTCCAGTCATCTGGAATATTTCACTTTGTTGGGCAAAAGGAAAACAGCACTTCAACGAAGGTGTAGAATCATGCGGGAAACCTTTTTTGAAGGCTAAGTAGAAACCAATTCTAATCTTTATTAATCTAATAACTACTCTGGAAATCTCATACGCGTAAGCACAGATACTTAGATAAAACATACTAATGTAATTGTATTTGAATGAATAAAACAGCCTATACTAAAAACAACCTTACACATTTAATTGTTTTCAGAGACATTCAGGAGTTGTGCTCCTGAGACTGAATTATGCAGTATCATTTATGATATTAAGAAGACATTACTCATGATATACCCATTCAAAGAATGTATGTGCTCCATGTTTTCAGAGAATTTGGAATAATTTGAGTACTTGAAATGAATAAGTACTTGGAAATAGATAATGGCTCCAAGTTCTTACTTTCCTGAAGTACATTTGAACTGAGTTAGTGTACCTATGAATCATTAAAACTTTATCATGTTTTTTTCCTGAAAGAATAATGACAGCTAATGCAAAAATTCAAAATCTTTGGATTTGGAGGAAACAAAATTATTTTTCAAAACTTGTTACCTGAAGCTAAATTTTACCTGAACATTGGCAAAATCAACACGGTTAAGATCATTGAGCATCTGGTTGATTTGAGAAGTGTTTTGAAGAACAGCACGAGCTGCTTGAGCCAGGTGGTTTAGAGATGTGTATCTTCGCAGAGTCTGGGCAAAGGCACTTACAGCGGCAACCTATGAAGAAATTAATTTATTTTAAAATATTGTACCACCTTATCTTAATCTTAAATCTACTACCTTAAATCTTAATCTATCTGTAGATTAATGCACCTGTCACTGTTTATGTTCATTTTAATATTCTGTATTAACGATCCAAACTATTTTCTTTTTTCTTTTTAATTTTTTGACAAAACTGATTTATTTCCTCTTCCATCATTTGACGATATGCTAAACATGAAATTTAGCATTAAAGTTAAAACACTACTGCTTTTATATGCGACTGCACACTGGGTTTGTCAAATGCAAGAATAAAGCTGCAATAGTTTTGTCTACCTTGGTTTGTATCATCCTCTGTGGAATATTGTTCATGGCATTTGAAAGCCAACCTTCAAGGCTTTTTGCAAAATTGCGAATGGCTTGGGTCAAGGCACCTGCACATTAAAGAGGAAAAAACTGAATGAAAAGAAAGCAAAGTACCTGTTTTGAAATGTTTTGCATCTTCAGTACTTTTATGCTCAATATTTAGATCCATTCCTTCTACTTATTGGAAGACAAAACAAACTAGGGTTCAAAACGCCTAATTCAGATTCAGATTATGCAATGATTTAGTTTTGTTTTAATGAACAGTTCGAACTTCCTCACCTAATCTTTCAAGAAGCTGATGACAAACAGTATTGTTTTGGGCATTTCTGTATAAAAACATCTGTAATTGCAGCAGTTATTTCCCATACACTGAAAATTTATATCGCAAACTCTCAGTTTTCCATTTCCTTGAAGTACATATTTTAAAGAGCAAATCTCTATAAAATTCCTGTTACTGGAATACTGCAGTTTCCTCAGATAGACCTGAAGCAGTGTGAATCAATGTCATGGTGCTTATTTCCACTTTAAAGAACAAAATCCAATAAGGATATAATCAACAAGCAAAATGTAAGACTAAATTCCACTGACAGAAAGTAATTACTCAAGCAGCTGCAAAATCTTTTTTCCTTTACTATAGCATCCACAGAATTGCATCTGGTGTGCATTCTGGGTGGATGACAAGGATTTTGAGGGGAATTGAAGCTTTTGCAGCAATCGGTAGTATAGTCAAAAAGAAAGTTTTACGAGGGTTACTCTGAAAGTAATGCCTTTATTTTATGATGGCCCATGACATCAGAGGCAGACGTTGGAGATATAACAGTAGATGCTGATCTTTCCTGACAGTATTCCATTCCATGTTGTTGTCGTGTGACAGATGGCAGCAGAGAAGCAGTCTGACCAAATGAAGTCTAAATGGAAGTGTGGATGAAGTGTGCCTCTGAATTCCTCCATGTGCAAAAAAATTACACCCGTTGACACTCACTAATAATTGCTGAACCGTTATGGATACCAAACAGTGGATGTGAGCAATGTGAGGTGGTGGGTGGTACATTGCAGCAGTGGTGACAGTGAGTGAAAGACAAGCCATGTTCCAGTCATGCCAATATTTATGAGTGCAACATGCAAGCTCTTGTTCATAGCTGGTGAAAACGCACAGATAATGGTGATGCCTATATATGAAAAACAGTGTCTGGTAGCTCAAAATTTTCTCTACCAAGTAGAGATTACTATGCTCTTCATAGCTGTTGAAGTATCCATGAAAATAATCAGGAGGTATAACTTTCAGATCAACCCATGTAGTTATTAAAGAAGGAGGAAATTAAGTTTTTAGACAAGGAACTGCACATGGAAAAAAAGAAAATCTTATCTCTTGAGCAGTAAAAATTTTGCTTTCTAATACTTACCACTTGCTCACTGACCTAATAGCGTCCATTCAAACAGCTGGGAAAAGAGACAAAAATAAAAACTGCAGTTTTCTAAAAATGGAGAATCACTGCAGGTGCAAAAATGAAAAGTAAAAACACTAGAAAAAAGAAACTACATTTACTTTCAAATGATTTCAGCTACATGTGAGAGGAAACTGCAGAGGTAAAGACTGGGTTCTGTTTATGGAGCAGAACACTTTCTGGTAGACTAAGGCTGACAGAACATGTCTTTGAGAAATACTCTTTTTACTGTTTGAATTACTGATAAACCCTTTATTCATGGAAACTGTTACTAGAAGATCAATTAATTAAAAAAAGTACTTCATTCTATCATTTTCACACTACTTTGAATTTTTACTATTAATGCATAGAAATCATATTAGCAACCTACATAAAGGAGCACACATTTGTATGCCTAGGTCTTACAAAGTATCTCAATAAGGTAAGTATTCTATGGTAACAGATGTTCGTTTGTTTAACCTTGAAGTTTTCACATAGAGAACAAGCTCTTCAGTTCTATCCATTATTCTGCAAACCTCTGATACTTAGTAAATTCTTTCTCTGCTCTTACTATTTAACTATGTTTTCATTTCTTTTATTTCTTATCTACAGAGCAAGAAAATGCAAAGTGGAAGGAATAGTAGAAATACCCTATGAATTATATTTAGTAACCTAAAGAAAGTATTACTCTTATCACTTCTGATTCATTTACTATTCTTTTTCACCTAATTATTTATTATGAAATTACTTTCACCATTGCAATGTTAATCTCCCTTAAAAATAAATATGGAAATGCAGCTCCGTTACATCTTTCAAAAAGTCTTTAACTAGGAGGAAAGTAGAGGAAGAAGTGGAAGAATTCTAAGTTTTGAAGAAACATTTCTTCTTTATAACTATATCAGATAAACAAACGTCAGTATTGTATGGTGAATTTCTAATGAATTTTTCAGATATCTTATTAAATATAGAATTTATCTTATACTAAATCTTTAAGCATGCATCCACTCATTGCCAAAAACTTATGGACCTGCATCAATGCTTTCTTCATGTTATCATGAAAGAATAACAGAGCAAAAACTTTTCAAAGAATTATACAATGAGTTCACTTCAGAGTAAAGGGCTTGAATTAAGTCAAATGTTACTAGACATACACAAAATAATTTTGCAATCAGAATTACTGACAGAAAATTTGATTTGGATGAGAACCTAACAATCCAGAGTCTGAATCTCAGCTGAAAGCTCTCTAACATATAAATCTCAAAAACAAACAAACAAAGTCTTTTTCTGAAAGCTTTACAGTCTCTCCAGTACTTTTTGGCTGCTTGAATTTGTGTAATACAGTGTGAAAATACATTGAACACAAATTCTTCTCCTATGACAGAAACTCTCAGGCAACTTTTCTGCCCATTCTTCACAGGTGAAGGTGCAAAAAGTCTACCGTGCAGAAAAAAAGATCCACTGCCAGTACAACACAGACTCAAGTCTATTGCCAAGGATATTAGACAATAATTCAACTTATTCCTTATTCAGACAGCATTATACTTTTCTTAAGAAAAGAAATTTGAACATTTTAAGCACAGGCATTTTTCATTCATTTTGTGGGTACTGAACATTTCAGCTAACAAAGTTAACACAGGATAAAGCTAAATCAACAATATTTTCCTCAATTACCTTTTCTACTCCAGTAATATCTATCACACAGGTGAATAGCACAGAAATTTTTCTTGAATAAAAATACAAAAAATCTAGAAAAATTGTAACTTGAAGAATCATGCTTACTTAATCACTAAGCTTTGTTTTTCCCATTTTCAGCAGTTGTAACAACATGCTGCTGTTACCTTTCCATGTACTTAGAAAAAAGAAATGAACTTAATTTTGATAAAGCATTTACAGTCCTTTTCTCTAAACTTTCTTAAACTTTCCCATAAGCTAGTATTTTCCCACAGAAAATAATCAATTTATATACTTAGCTCTGCTCCATTCTTGTCATAGTCAATCATTATGTACAATCTCTAAGTTTTCTCTTGGCCTTTTGCAATGGTTTAGAATTAGAATTAGAAGATATTCTAATTCAAAAGTAGGACTTACAGTGCTAATCATTCTTTCAATAGTAAAGAGAGAATTTTTATGTACCATTGTTACAGGAAACCTGACTAAAAAAGCAGCTGGTCCTGAAGATAAAACCAAGAAAATACATAGGTTGGTCTGAAAGTAATGCCTCCAATTTATTTCCATGGAAACTACAACAGATACAAAAAGCAAGGTAACACTGATAGAGCAAATTCCCAGCTAAAAAACTCTATTTGTCAGCACAGTTACCACCATTAGCTGTCCATTTTCAACAGCAATGAACAAGCACCAGCAGAAATGACCCACTGTTGCTGCTATTATTCCTGAAATACACCATTACGGCCTCACTGTACTCACATCCACTGTTTGGTATCTGTAAAGGTTCAATAAGCATCAGTGAATGCCAGTGGGGGCCATTTTTTCACACGAAGGAATTCAGAGATAAATCTTTGCTTCAGCCACACTTCCATATCAGACGTCATTCTGTCTGACTGCCCCTCTGCTGCCATCTATCACATGGCAGCAACATGTAATGGAATACTGGTGGGAGCATTCAACCTCTGCTGAGCAACATCTGCCTCCAACGTCATGGGCCAAGATAATAAAATAGGAGACATTACTTTCAGATCAGATGTAAAATATTATATGGCTTCAATTCTGATTGCTTTCTGAGCAAAAAAACTGCAATGTCAGAAAATAAAGGCAGAAATCTGTTGGGAATTATTTGTCCTGGGAATAGAAGTGTGCTATGTATCAATAAACCTGATGTGCAGTCCCAAAACAGATACTTCCAAACAGAGTAACATTTTTAAAAAATGAGAGCTAATTCTAGCAAGAAAAAAAAAAATAATAGCCTGAGAGAGACCTGATATCTAATATGAGATGATTGCAACCCATTTTCTTGACATCTTTTATTGGTAATGCCCAATGCATCTGATTGAAAGACAAGATGCCATAAACTAAAGAGATACCATGTAAAAACTTGCACTTAGGTAATGATTGAACTATGGTAATGATTGAATGGACAGATAGTTAATGATTCTTTCTTATAGGATATATGAAGAAGAAACAGTAGATCAGAATTAAAAATTAAATTAAAAAAGAATTAAAAATTCAGAATTAATTCTTCATTGCCATAACAGCCTTTGAAGTTGATTCTTTTTAATAAGGAACAAAAATCGAAATGTCAAAAAATGAAAACACAAGGCTCAGATACATTTTTTCTGGACTGGTTAAATATTAATTTGTAATGTTGGTAAGCTAAAAACAACTTCATTTAATGGAAATACTCACTGACATTAGCTTACACTGGTTCAGGGGTCACAGTGCCTCTTAAGTACTTTTCATGTGAAACTTGATCTTGAAAATTAGACCCTTCAACTGCACTAAGATCCTCAGATATTTTAAAATATAAGGCATATATACATTGTCTCTCAGGACAACTTTCTACAAAAGACTTAGGGATAAAAGATACACAGTAGTTCTCTAGCTTCAAAAATAATACCAAAAACTTCCCCATGTGCCATAAGACCACACACATATGAAAAAAAATCTCTTTACAAAACGTTTTGTGTTCAACTTACTAGGAATAGGTCTAAGGACGTCAGGAATGAGAATCTCCACCAAAGCCTGGTACATCACGTGATCACAGTTACACATCCATTTCAGAATAGATTCATGTTTGCACAGAGTAATCAGTTTTGCTTTTGGAAGTCGACTTTCTATTTCACTCAGATTGCTGGAATGAACAAATGCAGCAAATGAATAAATGAAAATGCATTTATAGAAGATAAAAAACAGCAATTGGTATTAAAATCATTATTTAATAAATAAGTTACAGATATCTCAACTACAGTCAACAGAACTTCTTTTCACTTTGTGTCACCTGAAACTGGATTAGAATGCTTGCACAGATCTGGTATAGCCCATGAATTATATAGAGGTATGAATCCGGTAGGCTTAAAAGAAATGGATAGAATACTGTGAGAACACCTTCATGATAGTTGTCTAATAAAAATAATAATAATTAAAAAAAAAGACAATTTTTTCAAGACTGTGATTTGCCATATAAGCTGTGTATATTCACATGCCAGACAATATCAATTTATTTTTAAAATGCACCATAACAAGAAAAGATTTTTACTCTTATAGTAAAACCAGTAATGTCTATGCCGTTGTTTGACACTTCTACTATGTTATTATAACAATCAGTACACAAAGACAATACATTTACTGACCTAGGTTCATTAACAGTAGTACCATCGGGTGGAGTAGAGGGAGAATAGCGCCAGAAAGTTTGCCACAACTTTTCTATCAGGCTGAATTGAAGATTCACTACCACATCCAGAATTGCCTGAGAAAATAAAATGCAAATACAGATTGTCTTTTACCTAGCTTCCCTCTAGTCCCAACTCCAAATAGAGAAATGGCTTTTTTTTTTTTTTATGTAGGGAAACTTCTCATTTCTGAAATGATAAATACTATTTTTACAGTAGTAAAATTGTATGTATAGTAAGTATGTACGCTAAGCATTGATAGTAAAATCGATGTATTATCCAACAGCATAAGATGCTTTGCACAGAGAGTAAGACCAAGTGTACATGCACAGAAGCCTCTAGAAATGAACATAAATTGTGTAAATGTGTCAGAGAAATTTTCCCAAAGATAGTTGATACAACTCCAGACTCGCTGTTTTATTCATTTCGCTTATTCAGTACAGTTTTGAAAACACTTTTAAAGTAGTTTTAAAATATATATTTTTCAATATTAAGTTTATTTTAATCTTCCCAATGTTTCTTTAAAACGAGAAAAAAAAGTTTTTTTTTTAAATGTAAGCAATTAAATGTCAATTTAACATTTTTTACACTTCCTATTGACAGAGCCAAAGATCTGCACATACAATTTTAAGTCTGGCTTCTCTAAAAAATTTGGAATACATACATATGATTACATTTTCAAGAATATTACTTTTTAGAATACGTTTTTGTCCTGATGGAGGAAATCCTCCCAATAGCATTTTTCCTAGTGACCATTCCAGTAGAATTAGCAAGATAATGCCCTTCCAGTGAAATAAGCAAAATATCCTGAAGCCAGCTGTAGAATGGCTGTAGCATATCCAACATTACTATCTTGCACTGATTCTCACTCACTAGAAATAATGAACCTAAAAAAAAAAACCAAAAAGATTTGTAGGAATTATAGGAAATACCTCACAGTGCTCTCGATAAAGACTCTGCAGTGATTTGATGTCCTCAAAGGTTGTACCATCTGGTAGGGAAGATATTTCAACTTCACCAAACTCTGGAAGTACTCGAGATGCATCTGTTTCCATAACAACACAATGAAAAAACACAGTTATGAACAGTGCCTATTGTTCCTATGATCAGGAAAAGACTTAAGGATGATACAAAGAAATAAATTCTAGAATGTCTTTACACTCACAGTGAAGATTCTTTCACACTTATTCTATGTTAAAATTGTGAAGAAATTCAGACAGCATTTTTGAAGTAAAAAAAGAAAACAAAAAAACAGCTGCAACTATTTGTTTCTTTCCACTTACAAAACTACAGCACACTCTCAAAAAAGATCACTAGATGTTTAACCCACGTTGTTAATCAATAAAATGCACTGTAACAAACATATGGGGAGGAAATGTCATCCCAGAATATCAACATACATGTGTATATATCACTCTGCACAGCAACTGTGTTGTGATTTACAGAATGTCAAATATATCACATAAATAAAGAATTTGCATATTCCTCTTTTTATACTTAAATGATTAATATTAAATATTACATAAAACCTGATAAATAAAACATAAAGCTTAAGTGCCTTTTTGTTCTGTTGTTAGTAGAAATTTTAAAAAGCCATTATAACTTTAGAAACAATTTTTGTACTTGTGTGACTTGATATTTGCAGCGGACTTCATCTTGTCTATTTTTGTAGTAGAATAAAAAAAACATGTTTTAATACCTAAAAACTGCTGATGATGTTGACTTTGGGCAATTACAGTTTGTTCAACAGATGTGCCTGTCTGTTGACCACTTCCTGTGAAGCCATCTGCAACTCCATCCACTTTCTGCATGGGCTTATACCTACAAAAATATCAATTTCAAAATTATCCTTTTTGTTAGCTTCTTCATAGATGAGCTCACACAGGCACAGGCTATGTTTATCCTGATTTCTCCATCTCAAAACAAAAATTTACAGAAAAGTACAAAAATAATTTACAAATTTTTATTTTCTTTGCAAATGACAGAAGAAACATGATTACTAAGGGCAGCCAGCACATTACTAATGAAGAATTTATAAAACTTATATTACAGCACCACTACCAATTTCTTTTGGAGTTTAGTGTAAGAACAACATAATCATTAGACTGCCTAATTTATGCCATTTTAAGTAAAATAACACTGCTATCTGAAGACAACAAAAATGGAAGACTTCGAAAACCTAAATCCTTCATACTGAGGTCTCAAAATCTTTCATAAAGTCTAAAAAATAAAAGTACAGTTATTCAAACAGGAGTGTTAGACTGGATGGTCAAATGTTGTAAGACATCTGACATGCAATAGGTCATGTTTGTGATTTGCAAAACCCCTGAGAGTTTACTCTCAGCTCTTAGTAGCAAGAATTTGGCTACTTTGCACTTTTAAAATAGAATTGTAGTCAGTGGAAAAGAAGAGGAGCACCAAAGCTGAACAACATGTCATAAATAGTGTTATTGCGCTCTTTGTACTTGTTGTAGTTTCCATGGAAATGTATAGGAGACATTACTTTCCATGCAATGTAAGCACTATAGCATATACAGTACATTATGTAATTGCTAGTGCAAGTTGTTTTTTTTTTTTCCTTAATCGAACTATATCATGCTTGCCTTTAACTGTGCTGCATGTAAAAAAAGAGGTTGATGTCTCTTGCCAAGTTTAAGGATCATAATTATCATATAATCTTCACTGGGATGAGTATTTTTCCACAACTTCATATCTCAAACTTACTGGCAGCATTATGGCAAAATGGTGTGGTCCTACACTTACTTAATTGTTCCTGACAGGTTTTGAAAGAAAGGAAAATATTAAATATTGTTACAGTGTCTGATTCTGGATTCCCCAGTCCAGCCTGTGTTTAGAGAGAGTACAAGTGTCCCGTATGAGATAATCTCTCTGTTAAGAAGAAATAACTAACTTTATGTGTATTTATGGGAGAAGCAGCAGTGTTGACCATAGCTGCTATGTCTTAGTGTTACTGCTTGTGGTAAGACTGTGCTATTAGATACCCTTCTCTTGTTAAGAATTAATGCACTTGTTTGCTTTTGTCTTACAAGCCAGATTCAAGAGGCGAGGAGAAGAAAGACTCTCCTTCCTATCTCAAGATTATTCTTATTAGCATAAAGTCTGCCCTGCATCAACAGCAGAGTATCTCTAAACCTGGCTAGGGAAGAAATAGTATATGATTAAATCTGGGCTAAATTTAGTGTTGTATTATAAATGCAGGATTCATTTATACACTTGAACTGGTACCACCCAGAAGGGGGTGATTTTTTTCTCTCATCTTTATGCCAGAAAATAAAGCTTCAGCAATTTTAAAAATAAAGAGTTGTCAATGTCATCACCAGCTCCTCTGATGGAGCTGGCACATTGATGTACAGTTTTACCACACAGCAGAGACATTGCTGGCTATAAAAAATAATGTACAGATCACAAAAGCATTCAAAATTCATTTTCTAAATTATTGTATCAGACATCTTTCCTTAGTATTTTAGCCATAAAGAACCTAACTTTGATGAATCTTTTCAGAAATAAAGTCAGGGCCATATGTAACTCTATTTTCGAAATGAGACTTCTCACTCCAGTAAAGTATTTAGGTCAATTCCTAACATAGGATAGTGATCAACAGTTAATGTTGTCTAATGATGATATCATATTTACCGTGTAACTTCATGACAAATGTTCATGTTTAAAATCCTGAAGTAACAAAATGCAGAATTTAAAATTCTAGATGCAATTCCTTTTTCAGTATTTAGGTTCATTTATTTTTATGTCAGGTACAAGTGGATAGTGCCAAGCAATGCAGATGTTCAATTAAACTTCAGTTAAATTTAGCATGCTAGACAGAATGTTCACTCAAAATGTAACATAATTAAAGCACTGGAATGGGTTGCCCAGGTAATTCCTGCTCCTGGAGGAATTTAAGAGACATATGGATATGTCACTAAGGAACACAGTTTAGTAAGGGACTCTGCAGGCCAGATTGATGGTTGGACTTGATGATCTTGAAGGTGTTTTCCGACCCAGATGATTCTGTGATTCTGTATCTTATTATAGGAATTAATAATTTTCAACACCATTAGAAAATCACTTAAACCAATGAATGAAAAAGAAAAGAAAATATTATTGTCAGGAGCTTCACATGAAACGTAAGCAAAGAGCAGTTAACAACTTAAGATCGGCAGTTGAAGTACAGGTGGACCTCTGGCACCTTAGATGAGAATGGCTAGCCAAAGGAAAAAAAAAAGTAGGTATTGTAAATACAAGCAGAACTAAGCTTGTGCTAAGATTTAATGCTTAGATTTAAATCTATTTTTGTGATTTATCACTAGTTCACTCTTTGTGAGAATGAGCTAATGTGCTAAAGTATGTATACTGTGTACAAATACCATGTTCCCTTCAATGGGGGAAAATCAGGTTTAAAAATTAACAGTAATCAAGATAGTATAAGCAGTTTGCAATATCACAGGCAACAAATACTAAAGCTATTAACTACAGAAAAATCAAATATATTAAAAAAGTACTATACATACAAAATCTGCAAGTAACAAAGAAATATATGAAAAATATTTGGCAGGCTTCAACATTTTTTCATATTCAGATCAAGCTGATGCTAGTTACTGTCTAGTATTTGAAGGAACTGAAAACCTTTCCAAGTAAACTGCTATGAATACATCACAAACTTTCAAACAAAATATACAGATCATATTTCAATAAAAGTATTGGATCCTGAGATATCCCTAATCTAGGAGCTGAAATAGAACTTCCTTGTTTTTTAAGCCACAATAAGCTCAACTTCCCAACCATGCCATACATAAAAGATATGCGTGTGATCTAAAGAAAGGCTATGGATGTTTTCTAAACAACTCCATTTGGGATTTTTTTTAGTAGTTCATCACGAAGTTCTCTTATTATCATTTTAGAATACTATGACAATAGAATTGCCGCAGTTTTACAGATGCTAGTATGTCAGAACTGTATTGCATCTATCTCTATCTGCAAATGGAGAAACAATATAAAAATCCATAATTTCTCTACTGTCCATTAATGCATTTCCTTCTCTAAAAAAATCAATAAATACTTGATGTTTCCGAATTACAATGGCTTGTTTTAAAGGTAATATTTGACTAAATAGCATGTACAAGAAACTTGGGAAAACTGACAAGAATAGAAAAAACACAACTTATCTTCTACACAAAATAAATATTTACAGTCAATAACGTCAACAGGAAGTGATGATTAATGAGTTCTGGTTAGAACAGTATAGTTATCAGTTAATGAATTTATTAAAAAATACTTTAGTTAAATGTCCAGTTCCCACCAATGAAAACAAAAACACATGGCTGGTGTGTACAAGAACTGAGATATTTAAAATTAATATTAACATTAATTTCCAAGCTGGAGGTTTACTTATGGAAATGAAACTGAAAACAAGTGAGGAATGCCCTCGGGAGTAGACAAGAATGTCTATTCCAGCTGTCTGAAATGGACATATAGATTATGAGAAAGATTTCACAGTAAAACTGAACTTTAATTTTTGTAACAGCTTTAAAGATGTCTTGCTTAATATACTCCTGTTCCACCAAAGTTTTATGAAATCAGAAATCTTAGATATTTCTCTTCAGTATAACATGGGAGAATAATAATACAATTCAAGTACAAAGCAATTTCAAGTAAGTGTACCATTTCCCTTTTTTTTCCCTAAAATTGTCTGTTCTCTGTAGTTTTTTCTATGTGCATATCCTCACATTCTTTCACCAAAAGCACGTGCCTTTGTTATCTCTTCCACTCTTGTGGAAAAAAAAATATCCTTCACTCTTCCCAGAAAATACCACTTCCAAATACTTCTGTAATTTCACAGATCTTCAGCAAAAACAGATGCTGAGAGCAAATACTTGAACCAGCCTACAGGCAAGCTATTATGGTCATGCTAGTTCTTTCAAGGAGAGAAAATAAATATCAAACTGACCTTAATCATAAGCTTGCTATAAGCAAATTATCCATAAAACCATACTGAAATGAAAACACCAACATCTGAAATTAAAGGTCCTATTTCTTTTCTTCAGATTGTGTTAAAATAACTCTAGATAGTTCATAAGAGTTTGTTCTTACAACATCTCACTTTTTATTATTAATTTTTGCAAACTTATTTAAGTTTCTAGGTAAACATTCTTTCATGTTGACAGGTATGTGACTTCAGTGACATAAACTGCTTATTTGGCAGACTTCTATTTTTCACAGTAGGGAAGCTGAACAGAGTTCACGTTAGAATTTCATCTTTTCAGTGGAAAGCAAAGTAAAGACCTATGAACTAGAAATATTAATAAGTAAGTACTCATCTTCATTTCACACTTTACCTCTGTTTCTGCTGCATGGGCTGCTGTCTCATAGCCATATATTGCATGTCCTCCTGTAGTCGATTAAGAGGAGAATCTGGCTTGACACGAATCCCATAGTAATGGTATTTGGAGTTCCCCCTTTATGAAAGAGCAAGCATTGAAAGAAAAATAACATTAGTTTTATGCATATTCATTGACTGGAAGAGATTAGGTACAAACGAGCCCTAACTCTCTTTCCATACCTGCCTTTTACAGGCAGGGTATCATTTTAGCACCTTTAGGAAATGAATTCACTCTCTTAAATATTACCAAACATTTTACACTTTGTTATGAAAACAAAACAAAACAAGGTTATACATACATATCTCATCAAAGTCACGAAGAAACACAATCCTTCATAATTTCCAAACAATAGACTGCATTTAATTTATGTTGCAGAGTATTTATCAAAATGTGAACAGTAAAAATTGGGAAAAGTAAAAATAATAACAACATCGGAAAAGCATTAACATGTTTGAAATTAATAAACATAACTGTCAGAAAACCAATGTAATGCTTACATACAGCTTTATGTATAGTTTTTAATATCAGAAAAGTTTCTTACTCATAATTATTGCTTGCGTTTCTTATTATAGTTCAAGATGTCATTAACAGTTACCTAGTTCCAAGTCTTCTTGTCCGTAACCCCATGAAAATTGACCGTATGAGTTTTCCAAAGGATGCTGCATTGACTGGATCCAGCTTGTGCTCCTGACAGTGTCGTAAGTAATGGTTGTAAAGGGTACTTCTAGGGAGGCTCACTCCTTCTGCAGTTTCATAATTGTCCAAAAGCCACTGAAGCTATTTCACATGTAAAACAGAAAAAAAAAAAAAAAAGGAAAAAAATAATTTTAATTATTACTTTATTAAAAATATCTTAACCTTACAACATTAACTTATGACAGTTCAGAAGTCATTCTTCAGGCCTACTGAACAGAGATCCTCTAAATGCTAGCTATACCATGTTCTTCTAGGATCTTCGGAATTACCAGGAAATAGTGGAACTCATTACACTTTGATCTCAGGTAAGTGTCCACTTCTTAAAAATATTTTGATTCAGTACCACACACCAACTATGCTTTGGAAACAAATTGTTAGCGCTGCAAAGAAATAAAATAATACTGAATGTAATTCATACTGTTTCACAAAACAAACTCATTGGATTAACAAGAGTTAGGTAACACATTAGCAAATGTAATAATTTAGTGCTTTTCTTTTTTCTTTGTCAGACACTAAAAGACATAAAACTAAACTGAATGGGATTTTTTTAATGTTTTTTTTTTTAATTATTTTTTGCTCTCAAGTACACAGGGAAAAAAAAAAAAACTACTGCATATGAGCCAAGGAGCAATCTAGATAACATTGAAAATAATGGCAACAACTGTATAGCATTAGGGCTACAATAGTAAGTCTTGGCCTTCTTTCCTTTGGAAATGCTGGAAAATAGAAATGAATATTTTCATCTACAAAGTTAGGTATTTTTGGAAAACTGCAAGAAAAGAGTTTTCATGTCGTATTACTGGACTTTACGGTATGCAAACACAAAACACTGTAGCTGTCAGTAATATATAAAACAAGTGAAAATGACAATTTAGCAGTGCTAGATTTAACAGTACACGAGAACAAAAAAAGAAATTACAAACAGTAGAGTTTGAGGACACACTTAAATTCCACTGCTTTTGTTTTTGGGCATGCTAAAATGTTCATTATCTTTCTCCGGTAATTGCTGTGGTTTCTGTTCCCTGAAATTCTCTTCAGATTTATCTTGGATGATTAATTTACTTTTTATTTGAATTCTATTTCCTTGTTTTCCTAACTATTTAAATCAAAGTAATTCTGTATGAACATTTAAATCTGCTATGGTCAGAGAACTAATCAGAACTCAGATTTAATTTGATCCCCCAATGAAACCCCAAACCAAGGACACTGGATCTTATCAAAGCATCATTTCAATTGGAAGAGATACTTAAAGGTGATTTAGTCCAACTACCCTGTAGTGAACAAGGACACCTTCAGCTAGATCAGGTTGTTCAGAGCCCATCCAGCCTGACCTTGAATGTCCCAGAAATGGGGCTTCCACCACCTCTCTGAGCCACCTGTGCCAGCACCTCATCACCCTTGTAATAATAATAAAAAAAAATTCTTATGTGTATTCTAAATCTCCCCTCTTCTTGTTGGAAATAATTACCACTTGTCCTATCACAACAGATCTTGCCAAAGAGTCTGTCCTATTCTTTCTTCCAGCCACCCTAATTTTCAAATATGCAAGCAGAATAACTAAAATAAAAAACTATTAAGCTACATTAAAAGATTGATGAAGTCCATGTGTTATTTGGTGCTTTGCTAGACCGCTGCTTTGAATACTGAATTTACAATTGTTTTAATCACCTTGAGCAACTTACCAAAACAAATGAAAAAACTTTCTTTGAATTTACTCTAGAACATTTAAACAGCAGTTCCATATTTGCCCATGTCCATGTTTCTTGAGCATAAGCTCTAGAAAAATGTAACTGTGTAAATGGTTCCAAGACAAAAAATGTTACAGCTATGTCTGCACATAATATTGAATTTCAAATAGACAAAATGAAAAAGTAATCCATCATCTTTTTATTAGCTAATAGGTAGCTACTTAAAAAGTCTTGCAAATCACAGATGTTTTCCATATTGAGCATTTACTATTTCGAAATAAAAATGAAGAAAAATACAACTGTAAACAACTTAAATCTGAAAGTATTATTTCACTAATGAATTCATATAACATAATTTTACACAGAATAGCAGAATTGTAGGGGTTGGAGGTGACCTCTCAAATCACCAACTCCAACCCTTCTGCTAAAGCAGGTACCCCACAGTAGGTTGTGTAGTAAAGCACCCATGCAGGTTTTTAATCTCTCCAGAGGAGTCTCCATAACCTCTCTGGAAAGCCTGTTTCTGTGCTCTGTCACCCTCAAAGGAAAGAATTATTTGCTTATTTTCAAATGGAACTTACTGTGTTCCAGTTTGTGTTCACTGCCTCTTGTTCTGCCAGTGGGCACCACTGACAATAGCCTGCCTCTATCCACTGTCTGAGCTTAGAAATGGGGATAACTGTCTCCTTTAACGGTTGCAATTAATCTCTATTTTAAATCTATCACCATATTTATATTTATTTACACATACATATTTAATAGGTTATATGCTATTAAATCTATACTTAAATCAGAACCGATAAGGAATATTAAGTGCTACTACTTTACCCAAAAGGAAAATCTGATTGACAAAAAATACCTTTTCCAGTTGAGTTCTCTATATAATATCACAGGTATTTTCTTCGAGATGGTTTATAACCTGTGATGATTCAATTTAAGCACACTTCATTCATTCTATGAATTTTTAACATATCTTACTGCAACCATAACCTGGCTGAACAAAAACTAAGAACAGAACAAACACCATATCTAACAGAAAGATATGTCCATTCTCATATTTTTTTTGCCTCATGAGTTGCTTCAATAATAACGGTTTTATATGATTTGTTAGATTATAGCCTGGAAGAAAAAGGGAAGTAAGTATGTGATCTCAAAAGGACCGTTATTTACAAATACTATAAAAGTATTCTAAACAATTTTTAAATTATATAATCATAAAACTGAGCTATTCAGGTTCAAATCATGGCTTTAATATTGACCATACTGCATGGCTAAGATGGTTAAAAGTATGAAATATTTGCACGGTCAGACATGCTACATTGACTCCAACTCCAACTAAGCTGCGATGCTTATAGAACAGTAAAGTATCACTGCAGAAGTCAATCAGAAGAGAAAAGAAGAAGGATAGAAATGGCAAATTCCTTAAAATAAGTGCACATTTAGGAAAAAAAAATAAATATACCAGAAAGTTTATTATACATATCATGGAGTGAAAAACCAAGTATTTTCCACAAATCGATATGACTTGCAAAGTGGAAATTAATACTAATTCAATACAAAATTTAGAATTCTATTTTAAAAACTTTTAAAGACAATTATTTTAATAAATGTCAACTAGACTATTAAATGACAAATATAAGAAAAGCTTAAGAGACAAAGAACAATACTCTACATATTGTCCTTACTCGAGTTTTATGTCAATAAACACTGCGTTCTAAATAAGGTACCATATTTAGTAAGTTTCATCTAGATTGCAGCGACTTTTTCCAAAACGACTGAAGTGAAGGAAAAAATTGATTGCCACAAAAATATGTATTTTTTTTTTCTCAGAGTCAAAGGGATATATTCCTATCAAATAATTCTGTAAACCTTCACAATCAAGAAAGAAATAGCATGATGACAATGCAGTGACATCTGGATACGAATCTTATGATCACATTTCTATAATAATTTACTGACATACAATTTATACACTGTAAATAGTACAGAGGACCAGGAGTGAGTGGAATAGCTCGGGAAGCAAGGGACATTTTATAATTCTTTTTGGTTCTATACCAAAATTTTGAACCTTGAAGTAGACTAAACACAAACATATCAACCAGTGGATAAGTTCAAATGCTAAGAGAAATTTCTAATGCTTGGCCAAACAAATGGTCCCTTTTACAATGACATTTAAGTTATTTTATTATTGTTCAGTTGTCCTGTCTTCAATGTGATTATGTTATAAACATCTGGAACATTTGGATGTTCACAAAAGAATTAAAATCTGAAATATTACAATATAAAAGTCTGTTCTGTATAATATTTTGTATAACAATGTAGTATGGTTCTCCTCATTAAATATTGGCATTTTCTTAAAAAACAAACAAAAAAAGCCACAACTGAAAAAAACACACAAACCAAAACCAATCAAACAAAACCACATGACCCAGAACAATCCTGGCTATGATTTTGAGGTTATCAGACACATACAGCCTTGTATTTTTACATTAAAACCATAAACCAAATGTAATTTTTTACTGTAAAACAATAAAAGAATTTTCATGTAACTACCTATAGCTAAAGCTTAGTAAAGCTGAAAAAAAATAAAGAGACAAGGTGAATAGAACCTAATCAACATGGAAAAAAATTAAATATAAAACGACTAACATCAACAGAAAAAAAATCATTTCAAGAAAGTCTAGAAATAAACAAAGTAATATGATTATTTATAAATAATAAGTTTCAAACTAACTTTGTGCCCTTTTCCTTTCATCTCACAGACATGTTTATTGTTTTTATCACTATATCTGGACATCATGTTCTTACACATGTCTTCAAGCTTCCTGTGTGGAAAATTCTTAACTGTTAAGATTTGCAGAATGTGAACAAAAAGTAAGATAGTTAATTAAGACATATATGTGTATTTTAGTCTAATATTCTATTTCTTTCCACGCTGCGATACCAATCTTTAAGATCCCCAAGTTATTTCATAATCAGCTCACTACTCAGAACAAATGAAAAAACATCTAAAAATAATCTGAAGACATTATTTAGTTATGCTGTTTGCCTTTTCCTTTTCATATACTTGTACGTTAATATATGGTACACAGACTGTTCTTTGTAGGCAATTTTACTGAAAATGTCGAAAGCCAGCTAATTTAGCATAATTTTGAACAATACTTCACCATTTACACTATAGTTTGCAAAACAAACAGATGTGTCAACTTGTGTTAACACAGGTTTAAAACCTCAGAAACAAATAATACCCTGCAAGATACCATCAAGACATTCAATCTGACAAAATAAAGCCATGAGAGATGCAGTAAAAAATTATAAGCAACTAAGATGGAAAGATTAAGAGCACAAAGTAGTAATAAAATAAAACAAACATTCAGAGGCAGGCTAAGCATGCAGAACAAGCAAAAGAGAGTGTATGTGAAGTAGAGACAACTTACATGACTGTTGAGAAGAGAGCTTCTGTGAGTGGACAGACCATCAGACTTTTGCAGTGTCTCAATCGCCATTTCAATCTGATAATAGATGGCATTAAAAAAAGGACTCAAGACAAGATAGTAAAAAAGTCTGATCAGAGAAGTTTTGAAAGGTGCTTACAGATCAATAGAAATGCCTAGTTTTTTTTCCTGGCTAGGACATATATTCTATTAAATGTTGTCATTCTGGATCTCAGAGAACACAAACCTCTCCACTGAGATCGGAAAGCATTTTGCTTGCACACATACTGCAGGATCACAGCCTCACAATTCAATTTACCTTTCTCCTTGCTCAGGAAATGAGAGCTCTCCAGATTTGCTGAAGAGCTACACTGAAACATAAAAAAACCCACAACAAAATAATCCTAAATAAAGACAACAATGCCTGACTGAACAAAAGTATCGCTTATGACCAAGAAAATTATCCCAAGCAGAATTTTAAGACAGGCATCCATACATTCTCCCTTCAACTACAACAGGAAGAGCTGTTTCCATACTGAAAAAACAATTGAATTAGATACAAAACTTCCTCTTTCTGCAATAACAAGCAAATCTCAATCCCAAATAATTTAATAGGTTTTCTGACATTAGTTTCAGTGGCACAAGGTATCACTGACTGCTGCAGCACCATCGAAGTATCCCCAGCTGCCAAAGTAAATAGAAAGTCAGGAGTCACACAGACAGCAGGATCCAACCTTCAGAAAAATAGCTTATTTTTTCACAACTTAAAATAGAATTTTAACTTTGTATTTTAGAACAACACATTGCTATTAAATATACAGCATCTTCGAAGTGCAAATGTATAAACACTCACACATTTGTTCCCAATCTTTTCCTTTGAATATCAGTGGATCTTTTCATGCTCTATAACAACATTAAAGAGTAAAATTGGAACCTGACTGTAGTTTAGCCAAGCAAGAACAACACTGAAAATGACAGAGACAACGGGATGTGCAGTAAGAAAAGGTATATAATTAACTACATTAAATGGCCACAACAAAAGCAATGGAAAATGCAATGGAAATGCACTTAGATTTTTAAAACTACTTTTCATTTTCCCTGTAGACCATTTAAAATTATCCTTCCCAATTCTACTTATATCACAGTACTATCAAAAGATTTTAGTGTTATAATTTATCAGTGTTAGACTACTTCATTCTCTGAATACCAGAGACTGAAAAATAGTTGATATTAAAATTTACAGCACAAAATAAATTAGCTTCTCCCTTCTTTATAGTATGACTGGTCAGTATTTTTATTCCAATAGTTGAGATAAGTAATTCCTTCTTTCTTTCCTGTAACTGCTTAATATCAGCTACATAAAACTATCAAAGAAGTGTACTGAGTATATGATTACTATGTAAGAAAATGAACTCTGACAGGACAACAACTTTCTTTAATCTGATTTCTTCTTGCTTCAGTAGAAGAAACTATGAGGTTATAGTACTCAATCACATAGAAAAATTCAAATTTTAAAGGCACATAGAATGATAAAAAGTACAAGTTTAAACATTAGTATAGCAAGATCAATTTGCTACATATGGTAAAAATTTCCCTTCATAATTCCACAACCAAAGTATACATACATATATACGTCCTAACTCTTAATCTTAAGTCACTTGTTCAACAACCCTTGCTTTACAACAGTACTACAACACTAAGGTTACACCTCATTCCTTCTATTGCATTACTTCCATTATGCTGCTGCAATGCGTGGTCCTGTTTGCTCCGATAATCAGTTGGTTAAAAGTAGCAATAATTGCTCTTACAAAGAAAAGAGGCACTGCAGATGCCACTCATTTCTCACTGCTATGTTCCTTCAATGTCTTGCGATGCAGTGCAATTAACCAAATAAAGACAGCCCTTCTTTTTGGTCATTTGGGAAAATTTGTAGCTGAGGTTAATTCTTTAAAGTAGCTTTCACCAGTATTGCCACTGAGGACAATGACTCTGTCTTTGTAGATCCCCAGGTTTAAAACAAGATTTTTACAGTGTTAGGATCATCTAGTCCACTTTTTCTGCATAACCTAAGCCAAACAGTCACCACTAAAAATGTTACCTCTAAAATGTTAATTAATTCATCAAGCTCAGAAAGATACCAGTTCCATATCTAAAATAAGTCATCATTATCTCTAAGGAATCAAGTTTCACAACACAAATTGTTCTAGCTACCAATTATTTTCATTATTTCTAGCCTAAATTTTCATAAGGCGAACTTCTAGTTTTATCTAACAGATATCTCTCTAATAAAAGAAACCTTCTTCTTATGTAGGCAATACAATTGCATCTTCAGTAGTTTTGAACATAACATTACTTCAATTTGAAGGAAGATTTTTAAGACACTAAATCATTCTCATCTCTATTCAAAACTGCATTCAAACATACATGAACATTGATTACATAGGTAATGTAGTCATTTTTACTGTTATATTATTTAGAATATGAAAATAATATCAACTTTTTTTTGCATAAATACAAATAAAAAACTAATATCTATGTGTTTCTAGCAATGTATATTGAGAGAGTCCAGGCACAGCTAACAATATTTGCACTTGAAATGCTTAATGAAAGAAAGGAATTACACATTCATTTATTTGAATGTGTGATCAGTCATAGATTTCTCCTTTTCTTCTCTTAAAAAGACTAAAAACATTCCTTATTAAAGTGTTTTGACTGATAACTGAGATATACACTGTAATTCTATCACTCCCACAATATAACCACGTTAAATATTGCATGACAATCACCTTTTATAGTAACATAAGCAAGGGGGGGCGGGGGGGGGGGGAGAGAGAGGAAAATGGATGGAATAAATTAAAGCATGATAGTCAAGAAAACTGCGATTCGAGACATCTCCCTTAACTTATATTGTTTGCCTTACATTGTTTGGACACAGTTGTTAATGATTAAAGGTATTTCCCTTGAGATAATAAATTCAATACTTTGATCCCAATACAGGCATCTGGAAATCCACATTGTTCAGTCTTTATGTGATCTACTGATTCAGAAGTTATTAAATATCCTTGTTAAGTTTATGCCTTAGTTTTCATTAACATGTTAATAGACAAACATAATATACATAATAGTTTCAGATATGTATAATAAATTTCTAAGAGCCAATGGCAAAAGTAGCAGCACTTTTTCACGATTCAACTAATTAACACAAAGTATTTACAATAAGTTGTCCTGAGATGGTGAGGACATAAAGAAGACAATTAGCAGAAGTTTAAGACCTGACCTGATTGATCTGAAAAATCACTCAGAACAGCCACAGGCTAGCGAAAATCCAAAATGTTTGGGTTTTGGGTCAGATGACATTTTCCTTCCTAAAGCTGCAAATGAAAAAAAGCTATCCATCTTCTCTGCTCATGGTTCTCAAATATATGGTCAGAATGATTGACCAATTCCACTTTCTCTCCCCAGAATCATCCAGTTCCTTGTATCTATGATCTCAAATATTTATAACTTCAAATATATTCTAAGCTGGTTTTCTTTCTGGCAGTTTCCCCCATATTTGATACAAATGCCCTCGTGAAAAACAAAAAAAGTCCTCCACTTAACTCTAAAAAATATCTGGAAATGTCACATATATATTCGTTGCATTTCTCACATAAGAAAAAAAAAGTGAGAGGCTAAAAGAAAAACCGAGTTCAGATTACAATTATTATTAACATCAAATTTGAAAGCATTTATGACAAGACAGAGCCAGAGAGAGGTATATAGGCTATTTTAGAACAAACAAGTATTTAATTAAAATCAGAAAAACCTACTCCTGCAGAAAGGTGACGCCTGAACTCCAGCGATAATGACTGTTAAAATAACATCACTGACAAGTCATCTTCCATCCAGTTTAAGCATTTTTAGTAAAATAAAATGAATTAATAGAAATTATTTTCATGGATTCAAAGATATCTATTTTAAATATTTAATAATAAAAAGTTGTATTTTATGCAGTCCTTTTTTTTTTTATTTTTATTTTTTTTTTTATTAATAATTGGAATGCTACACTTGCCAAAATTTTGTTTCAAGCAACACTCCATCTTCAATTTTAATATAAAAATATCAGAATATCTGGTGGAAACAAACCATGAGGTGCTTCAAGGCTTTTCAGACAGAAAACACACGAGCCAATGACTGAAGATCGAAGCTAAACTGACTCAGAAAAGAAACAAGGTGAAGCTGATGCAGGACAGGTTTGTGAGGTCATTCTCCCTTATCCTGATCTTGTGGAAGGGACACAGCATCAATTCAAGAAATACCACAGAGCAGCAAAGGACTCACGGGGTAGAGAAATAACAATTATTATGGTCACACTACATCACTGAAACCTAGCTCTTGTTATGGAAGAGAGTGATGATGCTCCAGAGTTCTCAAGGAGAAATCAAAGAAGAAAAGTCTTAGAGAAGGGAGTTCATAAAGGCACAAGGTCATCAAATCTAATTTTCTTCCCACGAGCTAATTCACACCACTTACACTTTTTAAATTTCTTTATCAATTGTAGTGATTACCCATTAATACAATTAATTTAAAAGAAGAAAAAAGAAGTTTATCTGCCTCCTCCTATCTAGAAATGGATGCTTCTTTTTCCACAAAAGACATGTTACAGTGCAAGAAGTCAGACTGCTTGATCCAATATTTCCCTGCAGCGTAAATGTCTATGCATCTTTAATTTTATCAGAAATTGTTTGTTTTACGCTGAAAAATATAAAGCAGACCTAGCTAACTAAAAATTCTGGAACAGATTATCAGAAAAAAGTGAGGAATGGAGCTGGAAGGAGTTTTGTCTACTGGGAAAGAGATTAATTAATACAATCTCAACTATTTTCCAAATTATTACAGAATCACAGAACCGTAGGGGTTGGAAGGGACCTCCAGAGATCGAGTGCAACCCCCTCTGCCACAGCAGGTTCCCTACACCAGGTCACAGAGGTAGGCATCAAGGCAGGTCTTGAACATCTCCAGAGAAGGAGACTCCACAACCTCCCTGGGCAGCCTGTTCCAGTGCTCCATCACCCTCACCGTAAAGATGTTCTTGCTCACATTTGTGTGGAACTTCCTACGCTGCAGTTTCTGGCCGTTTCCTCTTGTCCTGTCTCCACATATTGCTGAAAAAAGTCTGGCCTCGCCACTCTGCACCCCACACCTTATAGACCTGGATCAGGTCCCCTCTCAGTTGTCTTTTCTCAAGGCTAAACAGACCCAGTTCACTTAGCCTTTTTTCATAGGGCAGATGTTCCAGGCCCTTCACCATTTTGTGGCCCTCTGCTCTTTTGTCATGGTTTTATGTTTTTGTTTCTTCGGGTTTCACTATTCCACATCAAAACATCATGTAGTGCACTGGGCATTAAAGTGTCACTGCTCCAATTCCAGGTACCTATCCCTGTACATTACAGAAGTCACGGGATCTGACCTTTCTGGGGGGGGGCGCTCTCTTACTGCCTGGCAGTGGATGCTGGAGGTGCTTTCCTAGCCGCTCCAAGCTTTTCAGGTTTGACTCGGTCCCAGGAACTCTCTCTCTCCCATCTTGTCTGAGTTATTAGTCTCAATTTCAATTAAATTGTATTATATTGTGTGATCTTCTATTCTGGTAACATAGCAAAGTAAGTTTTCCTCCATAGATTGTTGCCACTGCTCTTTTCCTCCCTCCCTTCCTTCCTTCCTTTCTTCCTTCCTTCCTTCCCATTTTGTGTGGCTGGGGTGGGGGGGGGGAACAGCTGGGGCCTACTGCCCCCCTGGTCATGGGCATAAATTGATCTAGTGAACTCCATGACATCTTCCCAAGAGATCCCTGTCTTTTTTGTACTGGGGAGCCCAGAACTGGACGCAGTACTCCAGATGAGGCCTCACCAGGGCAGAGTAGAGGGGGAGGATCACCTCCCTCAACCTGCTGGCCACATTCTTTCGAATGCACCCCAGGATGCCATTGGCCTTTTTGGCCACGAGGGCACACTGCTGGCTCATGGCCAACCTGTCGTCCACCAGGACACCCAACCAAGACATCCCCTCTGCAGAGCTCCCCTCCAGCAGGTCATCCCCCAACCTGTACTGGTGCATGCAATTATTCCTCTCTAGATGCAAGACTCTTCACTTGCTTTTGTTAAACCTCATCTGGTTTCTTACTGCCCAGCTCTCCAGTAAGAAACCAGGTGAGGTTTAACATAATTATAACCCTGTCAGCTTAGAATATTTGTTGTTTATTGTTTTTAAAATAATTAAAATAGCTCTGTACTAAAATTATACAATCAAGATACAACATTCACAATAGGCTTCCTAACTTCATCTGTTATTATTCTTCTATCTTAATTAATTGCACATTTTGGGTAGATATCACTCTTGCTGTAAAGTTAGCATATTTTGCATGCTGTACTTACTAAGAGAAGTAATAATTTGTCCTAATACAAACAATCAATACTAATTCTGCTTTTATTTTATATTTACATGTGCCCTGAAAGAGGATAAACTTCTGCAACAGTGTAAGTGGAGACCTCCCATAGCTGGTGATGACTGATAAGTGACAGCTGTAATTACAGGTCAGTACTAAAGCATATTACAGAAATCAGCACTGACAAACAGGAGCCTCTCACTGACTAACAAGCATAACGATATCTTTACTACTGAAAACTTTATTAACTTAAGATAGTATGCAATATGTTGTTTAGATCATTCCGTTTAATCACAGTAACAATCTGTAGACATATATAGAAAAAAAAAAGATTGAAACATGATTTACATTTCACTATTAATAATGCAATTCAATTTTCTAGTCAGACTCCTAACCATAGCTGCATTCATTCATGATAACCACCAGTAAAGCAAGGGGATTCATCTTTCATCAAGTTGCAACATCTAAATTAATTTCAGATAGATAACCAGCTAAGTTGAATCACCTCTTGTTCAACATAATCTCATTCTACATGCATTCACATCCAAATGTGTTGTTTATATTGTTTCTCTCTCTATAATTGCTTAGTTATTTATCTCCCTAAAATCTGACATAGGTAAGTCTTATAGTCTGAAGGCCTTTCTACTTTGGGAGAAAAAAATTCATTTTGAGGAAGTAGAGGACTAATTTGATGCACGAGGCAAGGACACCACGGGAAGAAACAATTAAATCAGTGGAAATAAAACAACTGAAGAAAATGTTACAAATATTCTTCATGCTCACTAGGTGTATTTTGTTGCTTAGTATATAGAAGGATTTTTTTTTAAGTGGTCAAAAGAAAATTGAATTTCTATGTTTCATTCATCCAGTACATAGTTTACAACACATACCAATTTCACACATTGGACTTTTAACTTAAAACTTTTTTTTTTTTTAACTGCAGCCAAATACATTAGAAAAATCTAACATAACTTACTATAAAAAGATAATGATTCACCAGTGATGGTGAATAACAACAAAACAAATGAAGCTCCCTCTTGTATGCAGTAACAGAACTATTACCTCTGTGACAAGAGTAAACAAAGCTAATGATGGCCATATGCCGTAATGCTTCCCTTATTTGTATATCCTTTCTCTCTAGGTGAAAATTCTCCTAGCTAATTCAATATTAGGAAATGTTTGTTAAAAATTTAACAGCAAACCAGACTAGATACATGCTATTTTAATGTCTCCAATAAATGCTCTATATAAGAATGAAAAATGGAATAATGGTGAGGATCAAATGAGGATCATGAGAGAAATGAGATCCAGTTTTCTAAAGGGCAATCCAAATGAAGTATTGCATTGGTCTATTTTGCACAGTGAATTTCAAACAGACCTGATGTTTTAATATTGCAGTCTAAACTGAATCTTTTATGTTTCAACTGATCCGTGAAAATTTCAGGTCACTATAAGTATCCAGATCCTAAAATGATAAAACCTAAAACCTGTGGCCCACCAAAACAGCAACAAATCCACTTCTGATGTATTCTTATGTCTTGCACAACAGAACCATACAAAATAAACAGTACCTTAAAAAATAATTGAATAAACAAACAGAAGAAAATATTTTAGTGTTAAAAATACAATTTAATCATTGTGATTCGATTAGCATTATTTTTACTATTCGTAAAAGTAAGTTAATATTGAAGTACAGAAGGTACTCAATCTAAAAGAGGCTGGTTTTTTTATACATGAAGCAAGACAAAGTTGTTGCTTAAAGAACAAACCTCAGATTTTGTTAAATCTTGTAAATTTGACACAAAAGAACTGAATTGTTTTAATTTGTTAAATATACCACAGATTTTTGTTTTGTTCAAGTAATTTCAGGATATTCAACTTTTACTGGACATATTTAAATTTCATTTGATTTCAAACTCAAATAAACATTTTATGACTGACTTTTGCTGTTATAGCAAAAAACTGAACTTATGATACGCAAAATACTAAACTTCATATGTTCTTAAATGAATAAGGAGAAAACTAGCATGAATAAGTAATATTTGTATTTAAATGCATTTAAATACAATTAAATTAAAAATTTTAGAAAAGAACAATGCGTTTAAAACAACTATAAAAACATACAAATATAATTGGTACCTAAATATTCAAAGTAATATCACTTTTCAAAATTAATTTGATCTTGATCTGCTTCTTACTTGTGACCACAGAATAATACTCTTGTCCTACCTTGCTTGGTAGTTACAAATCATGTGCAAAAACTGCAAGAAATATCTTTCAAATAATTAATATTTTAAAGAAAAAATAAAAGTATTGATTTTATTTAAATTAAAATTCAGACACGTTTTTTTCTTATGAAAATTATTTAAAACACATGTAAATGTTACCAAACACTCTTTTTTATTTAACCGTTAAATATAAATACAATATTCTATTGCCAGCTGAAGGCTCCTGCTATGCTACTGATACGTATGCAATTCATTCACTATGAGTCTCTGCAATTTTTATTCTCACGAAATAATACTACATAGTTAAGGTAGTCTGAAAGTTTGTATGAAATAATACATCTACATTGTACAAATGTATATATATATATAAAACTACCTTAAGAATCAATATCAAGATATTTTATTGAATCACTTAAGTGCTAATGTAAATGTTCATTATTATTCCAAATAAAATTTAAAAGAATACTAGATTTTACTTGTTACACTGGTTCCCAAAAATAAAGTTGCATTCATTATGGCCATGCAGTAAAGCTAGACTATGTATAAGCCAATTTTCTTAATGGGAATAAGAAAATTTGAGTAAGTGCTTAAGAGAAGAGTTGATGCTCATACTTTAATGTCCAAAACAGTATTTATCATAATTCTAACAGCATGAACCTTCCCACAGCATTATAAGATACCTCCTCAACAGGGTTTTGAAAAGTACCATGTATGAGTAAGAACAAATGTTAAAAGGAAAAAATATGCCAAAATTCTGAAAATACAAAAGTATTTTGAAATATGCTACCACACATACACTAAAGTAAAACAAAAGATAAAGAATGCAGGAAGTTATAACCAACTACTTACAAGCTAGATTATTTGATATATACATCTATTAACATGAATATTCTCAACAATATTTTTTTAATTAAAAAAAAAAAAAAGCTTTTTGAGTTCTTGTAGAAATATATTAAGCTCAGACAGACTATCATGTAAGCATTCTCAAAATATTCACAGGTATTACATGCGTGCAAAAATATAAAATGTAAATATTTGCAACCCATCTTGGGAAATACTGTTTTGTTTTGGTTTTTTTTAAGTTTCATGCTTGTGCCTTGTTTTTTTTTTTGTTACATATTAATTTCTCGTGTCACGAGAAAGTACTGTGTAGTACTTTACTAGCATAATTTTGTTGTACTTTCTTAAACAAACATCATATCAGTCAGAAAGAACATCTTAATAACTAAGTCCCAAAGATTCACATCAGTCTGAAATACTTACTGTAGCTGGGGAAGTCCGTGTTGTATGAGTCACTGAATGACCAGAATTTTCCATTGAATTGCCAATCAAATAGGTCCCTCCTGAGCTGCTAATGAGTTGTCCTCCTGTGACACCCATCTGAATCCCTCCAGTGCCCACCATGCTATGAGAGGAGACCACTGTTGTCACCTGCGCAGAACTTCCTTGAGTATCAAAATAATTTCCCCCAGTGTTTTGGCTGTACATCTGGGTTTCTGTGTAAGGATAAGTTGTTGATCGGCTTCAAGAAAAGAAAACAAAAGGAAAATAAATTATTTGTATTGTTCGTTGAGCTGAGGGAAATGTTATATTTCTAGTACATATCTGCAATTGCTATAGCCAAATTAAAAAAGATTGGCAAACAATCCCTTCTCAGAGAATAATATTTCTGCAAATAAATGTACCAAGTAACTAATCCAGTAAAAACATTAAAACAAGTATTCACCAAGCCTTGCAGAAAAGTTTGTCAGCCTTACCTGAAGAAGATCAAAGAAAGGAAGTATGACAACAATTAAGAAGATGGACAGGAAGAGTTCATACAATAATTAATATAGAGCAAAAATTGTAAAGCTCCACCCATTTCAACTTTTTACAATCCTACCATAAAATACAGAATTTCAATCATACGCTATGTACTTTCCATACTAAGATGCAAAATTGCAAACAAATTATGTAAATCTCAGCCAAGAAAGCTCAGTGTTCAAGAATTCCATGTTAACTATTGATTTTAAATGTTTTTATACTTCTCAGTTAAAGCTTGAAATTCAGAACTTAATGGTATTTTAACATGTTTATTTTTACAGGGTGAATTTAAAATTGAACATGAATTTGTGCTATGATGAAAAATTGCACTGAAGAAATAAAACCAAATGAGAATTATGACATTTGTAAAAAGCTTACAAACATTAAAGAAGGTATGCAGCAAAAACGTTTTAAAAATTATTTTTGAGCATGAAATATTCATGGCCCATTAATGAGTATACTCTTTAAACTATTCAGTCTGAAACTTTTTATCATGTTTCAAATTCTTAATCATTATATTAAATCATTACCTTGCATGGGTTATAATCTATTCATAATTATTGAATAAGTACTCACTCGTTGTTCACCAATTATTGAATATGTACTAGCTTTCTTCACCAAAACACATTTTAAAATTATTAACTGTATAGTATTAATTACTTCAAAGCAAAATTCCTTATTTTTGAAAAATCTGCCTGAAAATTTCATCTTGTTTCACAGTGGCTAAGTTTTGTATTTTAGCAAGTCGGACAATAGAAATGCCAAAGAAAAGAAAATAATCAGTTTACTTAACCATTAATTTTATTTCTTAAGCACAAAAATCTGTAATGTTGCCTGTAATCAACTGACAACACTCATTAACTTGGATTTGCTTATGTTGAGATACAGTCTGTCCAAATAAATACAATTTAAATCTAGTAGGATTCTGAGAAAAGACAAGAGTTGCCAAATTTCTGCTTAAGCCTAAGTTTATTATAATCGTAGAAACCACAAAATCATGCAAAACCATGCAACTAAATATGACAAAAAATTTCTGACATTTCTATCCAAGATTACAAGAGGAGGCAGCATTCAGTATTTATACAGTTGGTAGATCATTAGTACATCTGTCCAAGGCTTAGAAGTCAGTGTTTTTTTCCATTTATCTACACAAGGATTAGTTCCTTATTAAAACAGAGAAAGGTAATAGAAAATTACAGCTTGTTCTGTTTTTCTTTTTAAATTATGAAAGCATAGTAAACAATAGACTCAGAGATAATGATCTTTTGCTTCAGAATCATTACTTTTAAGAGAAGTGAAGAACATATAGCACCTTATCAACAATCAAAGTCAGAATTTTTACTATCGCCACAGACTTCAGAGACTTAGAGAAATTTCAAAACTTTAGATTTCAAATCCTGAAAGTTTTACAAAGCTCACACTATATTATTTCCTCTCAACCCTCTTTAAGTTAATCAAATTCTTTTTTATTTTGGGTATTGCAAAAGCTTCAAAATCAGCAGTACGAAACTTGGAAGTTAATCTACAAGAAATGCCTTGCAGACTCCTGAAAACAAAGCAAAATAGTTCATTTGGGAAACATCACTAAAGTAGGCAGCTAATCTATTATTTATTTGGAAAATAAAACCAGTTCTTCTTTGCATTGCAGTAGCCTTTGCATATATTTAAGCATCATGCAGTCCTGATTCACCTGTTTGATCAAGCCAAGGTATCACCGTCAAACCTTGTGACAGCATTGAAATATTGCTTCCCTTGTGATGTAAAAGATAACTGCTAGCAGAGATGGTGTTACATCTGCCTTGGAAACATACAATTTATTGAATTTACAGAATTTACTCCAATGCAGTAAGGGTCAGTTTAGGAAAAAGTAGTAGTGGAAGTGCTGAATAAACAGTTCAGCAAAATGCTTGTGAAGGAAGTAAGCACTGTAATTTCTCCCAAAAGAGAAATATCCTATGAGGTACCAGTACAATACGGCAGTGAATGAAACGCCAAAGGTGTTGATGATGGTAAAAACAGATACAGATAAAAGAAACAGACTGTCCACAAAGGACATAAGCAAGACATACCACACTTGTAGAAATGAAATTAAAGAAGTAGTACTTTGTACAAATGCAAAGTCTAGAAAGTGCTCAATGTTTCAGAAGAAAAGTAAGTCACTCCGTGTGGAAAGGATAGGGAAAAGGAAATATCTGTTTGCTTTTACCTTGTTCTGATCTACAAATCATGTTACGTCCCTAAATAAGGACTGATTGTATTGCAACACCTAAATCTGCTTGTAACTATTTCTTATGACTGCACCAAGAGCGATCTTTGGGATAGAGAGATGGGTTGGACTTCGAGATAAACATATTTGTTCCAACAACCAGGTTTACATCAGGTTCTTCACGTACACCTGATTATTGGAGATGATAAAGCAAATCTTCAGCAACAGAGATCAATGATGTAATTAAAAGTGAGATAAAAGTGTTATTATTACATGCAACGATAATTGCAACTCAGCAAAGAGCTCTTTAACTATAATAAAAACGAATTAATCTGGAAACCAAAAGATGCAGGCTATACCAACCGGATGAGGTGATGCTATGGAAACCAGTAATTCATAGGTTTTAACGTCACTGAATACAACGTGAGCTTTCAACACAAAACTGTGCAAAGAGAAAAATATGATGTTATTCTCTTTAGATATACACAAAGGATAACCTGAAATAAGGAAGTTATATCCTATTTCTCCACAGCACTTGCAGCACGGATATATAATACATCCTCAAGTAGTCTGGCATATAGTCATTTCTTGCCCATTGCAAATGTTGTCACAGCACCATCTCTTATTTTTCTGTACAGTTGCATATTTAACCTCAGCAGAAGTAAAATCTTCTGAATGCTTATGAGGATTACTTTGGTGATACACCATGGCTTGAGATACGTTAGGAAACAGAATCTAACAGTTACTCCTACAGGAAGATTGTGGAATTCAGTATTTGTTAGAATGTGGCATTAGAAAGTTCATCAGAGTTCCAAATACATTAGGCTACAATGTCCTAGCTTCCAAAAGGTTGTGCAACCCAGACAGTGTTTAACTGGAGAGCATGTTGCACAAAGTCAAGATTCCACACTGGAAGTTATTGAGACTAGCATGAGCTGGACTAGGATTGCAAGGTATTATAATTCACCTGTTATACATTATTTCTTAGATTTTATTATAGCATCATAGATTGGTTTGGGTTGGAAGGAACCTTTAAGATCACGTAGTTCCAACTCCGCGGCTATAGGCAGGGACACCTCCTTCTAGACCAGGCTGCTCAAAGCCCCATCCAGTCTGGCCTTAAGCACCTCCAGGGAGGGGGCATTCACAACCTCACTGGGCAACCTGTTCCAGTCTCACCACTCTCACAGTAAACAATTTCTTCCTACTGTCCAGTCTAAATCTACCCTGTTCACTGGAACCAGGCTGCCCAGGGAGGTGGTGGAGTCTCCTTCTCTGGAGATGTTTAAGTCCTGCCTGGATGCCTACCTGTGCGACCTGCTGTAGGGAACCTGCTTTGGCAGGGGGGTTGGACTCGATGATCTCTGGAGGTCCCTTCCAACCCCTACAATTCTGTGATTCTGTGATTCTGTGATATACCCTCATACTGTTGCTACATGCCCTTACAAAAAGTCCCTCCTGCCCTTTCCTGTAGGCCCCTTTCTGGTACTAGAAGGCTGCTATATGAGCCCCCTCGAGCTTTCCCTCCTCCAGGCAGAAGAGCCCTATCTCTCACTGCCTGCCCCTGCAGGGGTGGTGCTCCAGCCCTCTGATCCTCTCTGTGGGCCTTCTCTGGACCTGCTCTAACAGCTCAATATCGTTCTTCTGCTGGAGGCCCCAGAACTGGATGCAGTACTCCAGGTGCAGTCTCATGAGAGCAGAGGGCCTCCCTCTTTAACATGACTTGCAAAACATAATGCTAGAAATAAAACACATGGAGCTGTGTTAAAATGTTGTTATTAAAAGTGTATTTTTGACACGAAAGCAGACTGATTTCTAAAGCCATTGTGTCGCTGCACTGACCTTAGAAATAAGTGTTCTGCATTTTATTTCAGACACAGATATATTACTATAAAATTTAGCTTTTAACGACAATTCTGTCCCTTCAAAAATTCTGTTACTTTGAAAAAAAAAATTAAAAACAACAGTGAAGGAGTAAATCTAGCTATCTTCTCTATCAGTTTTCAGAGTACATGTATACACGGGAAAAAATTTCTTCCAAGCTGCATCTATTACAGAATCACAGAATCACAGAATCACAGAATCACCCGGGTTGGAAGGGACCTCAAGGATCATGTAGTTCCAACCCCCCTGCCTAGCAGGGCCACCAAACACACACATTCAGATCAGGTTGCCCAGGACCCTGTCCAACCTGGCCTTAAACACATCCAAGGACGGGGCATCCACAACCTCCCTGGGCAGCCCGTTCCAGGGCCTAACCACTCTCCTTGTATAGAACTTCCCCCTAACATCCAACCTAAATCTTCCCTCCTTCAACTTCGATCCATTTCCCCTAGTCCTGCTATTGTCAGCCCTTTTGAAGAGTTTACTCCCCTCGTGGGTGTAGGTTCCCTTCAGGTATTGATAGGCTGCAATGAGGTCACCCCGCAGCCTTCTCTTCTCCAGGCTGAACAAGCCCAACTCCCTCAGCCTGTCCTCACAGGGGAGGTGCTCCAGCCCCCTGATCATCTTAG